CATTTTTTGTCATTTTTGGCCCAAATCACTTCCAAGGGGTTAATCTTTCATTTTTTGGCAATTTTGTCAAAAATCACTTCTAAGGGGTTAATCTTGCATTTTTCGTCATTTTTGCTCGAAATCATTTCCAAGGGTTTAATTCCTTAATTTTTTGTCATTTTTGTCAAAAATCACTTCTAAGGGGTCAATCTTGCATTTTTTGTCATTTTTGGCCCAATCACTTCTAATGGGTTAATCTTGATTTTTTGGCATTTTTGTCAAAAATCACTTCTAAGGGGTTAATCTTGCATTTTTCGTCATTTTTGTTTGAAATCATTTCCAAGGGTTTAATTCTTCATTTTTTGTCATTTTTGGCCCAAATCACTTCTAAGGGGTTAATCTTGCATTTTTCGTCATTTTTGTACGAAATCATTTTCAAGGGTTTAATTCTTCATTTTTTGTCATTTTTGGCCCAAATCACTTCCAAGGGGTTAATCCTTCATTTTTTGTCATTTTTGTCATAAATCACTTCTAAGGGGTTACTGTTGCATTTTTCGTCATTTTTGTTTGAAATCATTTCCAAGGGGTTAGTCTTGCATTTTTTGTCATTTTTGGCCCAAATCTTTTCTAAGGGGTTCTTCTTGCATTTTTGTCAAAAATCACTTCCAAGGTGTTTATCTTGAATTTTTAGGCATTTTTGTCAAAAATCACTTCTAAGGGGTAAATCTTGAATTTTTCGTCAGTTTTGTTTGAAATCATTTCCAAGGGTTTAATTCTTCATTTTTTGTCATTTTTGGCCCAAATCACTCTAAGGGATTAGTCTTGCATTTTTTGGTCATTTTTGGTCTCAATCACTTCCAAGGGGTTAATTTTGAATTTTTTGCCATTTTTGTCAAAAATCACATCGAGGGGATAATCTTGCATTTTTTGTTAGTTTTGGCCCAAATCACTTCCAAGGGGTTAATCTTGCATTTTTGTCAAAAATCACTTCTAGGGGTTAATCTTGAAGTTTTGTCATTTTTGTCTTGAAATCATTTTCAAGGGTTTAATTCGTCAATTTTTGTCATTTTTGTCAAAAATCACTTCCAAGGGGTTAATTCTTTATTTTTTTTCATTTTTGTCAAAAAACACATCCAAGGGTTAGTCTTGCATTTTTTGTCATTTTTGGCCCAAATCACTTCCAAGGGGTTAATCTTTCATTTTTTGGCAATTTTGTCAAAAATCACTTCTAAGGGGTTAATCTTGCATTTTTCGTCATTTTTGCTCGAAATCATTTCCAAGGGTTTAATTCCTTAATTTTTTGTCATTTTTGTCAATCACTTCTAAGGGGTTATTCTTGCATTTTTTGTCATTTTTGGCCCAATCACTTCCAATGGGTTAATCTTGATTTTTTGGCATTTTTGTCAAAAATCACTTCTAAGGGGTTAATCTTGCATTTTTCGTCATTTTTGTTTGAAATCATTTCCAAGGGTTTAATTCTTCATTTTTTGTCATTTTTGGCCCAAATCACATCCAAGGGATTAGTCTTGCATTTTTTGTCATTTTTGGCCCAAATCACTTCCAAGGGGTTAATCTTGCTTTTTTTGGCAATTTTGTCAAAAATCACTGCTAAGGGGTTAATTCCTTATTTTTTATCATTTTTGTCCAAAATCACATCCAAGGGATTAGTCTTGCATTTTTCGTCATTTTTGGTCTGAATCACTTCCAAGGGGTTAATTTTGAATTTTTTGGCAATTTGTCCAAAATCACTTCTAAGGGGTTTATCTTAATTTTTAAATCATTTTTATCCAAAATCACATCCAAGGGATTAGTCTTGCATTTTTTGCCATTTTTGGTCTAAGGGGTTATTTTTGAATTTTTTGTCATTTTTGTCAAAAATCACATCCAGGGGATAGTCTTGCATTTTTTGTCAGTTTTGGCCCAAATCACTTCCAAGGGGTTAATCTTGCAGTTTTGTCAAAAATCAATTCCAAGGGGTTAATCTTGAATTTTTTGTCATTGTTTTTGTCGAAAAACATTTCCAAGGGTTAATTCATTTTTTTGTCATTTTTGTCAAAAATCACATCCAAGGGGTTAGTCTTGCATTTTTCGTCACTTTTGTCAAAAATCACTTCTAAGGGGTTAATCTTGCATTTTTTGTCATTTTTGGCCCAAATCACTTCCAAAGGGTTAATCTTGAATTTTTTGTCATTTTTGTGAAAAATCACTTCTATGGGGTTAATCTTGATTTTTAAATCATTTTTGTCCAAAATCACATCCAAGGGATTAGTCTTGCATTTTTTGTCATTTTTGGTCTGAATCACTTCTACGGGGTTAATTTTGAATTTTTTGTCATTTTTGTCAAAAATCACATCCAAGGGGTTAGTCTTGCTTTTTTTGTCATTTTTGTCAAAAATAACATTCAAAGGGTTAATCTTGAATTTTATGGCATTTTTGTCAAAATCACTTTTGAGGGGTTAATCTTGCATTTTTGTCATCTTTGTCCAAAATCATATCTAAGGGGTTAATTTTTCATTTTTTGTCATTTTCGTCAAAAATCACTTCTAAGGGGTTTATCTTGCATTTTTTGTCATTTTATTTCAAAATCATTTCCAAGGGTTTAATTCTTCATTTTTTGTCATTTTTGTCCAAAATCATTTCCAAGTGGTTAATCTTTCATTTTTTGTCATTTTTGTCAAAAATCATTTCCAAGGATTTAATTTATTTTTTTCATTTTTGTCAAAAATCAGTTCTAAGGGGTTAGTCTTGATTTTTTAATCATTTTTGTCCAAAATCACATCCAAGGGATTAGTCTTGCATTTTTGTCATTTTTGGCCTGAATCACTTCCAAGGGGTTAATTTTGAATTTTTTGTCATTTTTGTCAAAAATAACATCCAGGGGGTAGTCTTGCATTTTTGTCAGTTTTGGCCCAAATCACTTCCAAGGGGTTAATCTTGCAGTTTTGTCAAAAATCAATTCCATGGGGTTAATCTTGAATTTTTTGTCATTTTTTGTCGAAAAACATTTCCAAGGGTTAATTCATTTTTTTGTCATTTTTGTCAAAAATCACATCCAAGGGGTTAGTCTTGCATTTTTTGTCAATTTTGTCAAAAATCACTTCGAAGGGGTTAATCTTTCATTTTTTGTCATTTTTGTCAAAAATAACATTCAAGGGGTTAATCTTGCATTTTTTGTCATCTTTGTCCAAAATCATTTTCAAGGGGTTAATCTTGCATTTTTTGTCAAAAATCACATCCAAGGGGATAGTCTTGCATTTTTTGTCATTTTTGGCCCAAATCACATTCAAGGGGTTAATCTTGCATCTTTCATTATTTTGGGACAAAATAATCTCCAAGGGCTAAATTTTTCATTTTTAATCATTTTTCCCAATAATTAATTCCAACGAATTAATCTCGTACTTTTCATCATTCTCAGTTTAATTTACTGAATAAACTGAATTTTAACTTATAATCCAGAATGCATCTTAATTTGCTAACAATGGCCTGACAACAGAATTATCCAAGCTACAATAAAGATATATATATATAATTTGCCTCAGCTAGAGTGACTCAAAATGCTGAATGGAAACCAGCGTTATGCACATTTGGGAAAAAAAACCTTCAAAATACACAGGGAAGTATAATACAAAGGCGGAAATTGAACAAAATTTTCAACTGCAGATTTTGTACACAATGCACTTAGCTCGTTCAATACATTAAAAAAATGTGTCCACGACAGCTCATGAATCGAATTACATACTTACAATAATGGAACTACAAAATTATCCTAATTCTTTTCCACCGGCCGTAACCTCTACGAATGAGAGAACTGACTCCTCACACTGGGAACAGATGTTCCAAAACTAACGTTTACGTCTAAAAGGCAGTGACAATCATTAAATTTTCAGTGCACATAATTTAAAGCATGACGACTTACAAATATGTGGTTCTGAACGATGCCACATCTCTTTTAAGAAGTGATAATTTAAGGCAATATTGCATTATAGGGTATGTTAATGCTTGATTCCATAGATTATGAACTCCTTACAGAAGCACACGATGCTTGAAAAACAGAAAAAATCAATTTGATTTCTTTTACTTCCCCTCAGAATTACAATCTGCAATGGCGGTGTACATTTTACCCTAAATTTCACTTTTCATTTTTCTCTCAAACCTGATGCAGACACCAAAACAACAGAGAGGCATGTACGTGTATAAATGTTTAATCAAAGGCACTTCATCAAAATTATTGCTTCTAAATAAGTAATTTTTATGGAATGCTATACAGAATATAACTAATAGCCGTGCAATTAGGGGACAATCCTCAATTCACTAGATGCAAGGTGTAGCAAGCAAGGTCTCGGTTCATATGCGGAAGCAGTGGTGTTGTGAAATTTAATCAGAGCGAAAAGAGTAGGACACAAGAACGAGTACAATGTACCCTGATCTAGCAAAATGAGTCTTCAGTCCATAT